CAGGAACAAGTCCCTGAATCGGGCAACGTCCCCCTAGGGTGGTGTCAGCGAAGCTTGCACATGTAGTCCCGGCCAGCCAAGCATTGGTGGTGTCGCTTTGTTATTGCTTGTTGGATATCAAGGGCAGTCTCGTGGCCCTTGCTCGTGTTTTTCTCATGCCAAGCAGTTGTGGCACGACCTCGCACCTCATTTCCTCTGCTCGGTCATCGAGTAATCGATCGGGTGGGTTATGGACCGACGCGCGTGGATGCTGCCACTTGTACGCAATGGGCATATGAGTGGTGTTATGGTTGCGCGTGTTGGCAGTCTTTATGCTCGATGCGTCGAACTGTCGACCCATCATCCTCTTCAATCTCCCCCCATGCGATCATTGTACCCAGGAGGCATGATCGGGATCCTGTGTTGCATACCTGAATCGATGGAAATCGGATGTCTCACCATCCCTCATCCGTCTCGTGTCCTGAGGGGCCACAGGTCAGACGTCAATCGTGGCTGGTGTCCCAAGCGTGCCACCCAATCATCCGTGGCCGCATTGGTGAATAGGCATTCGATCATGCTCTCAGATGTGGAACGTTTAGCGGGCGCAGGCTCTCCGCCCCCATTCGTTCGATGCTACGCATTTCACGTGCTCGACACGCATGATGCTTGTGCTCTGCGATGGGCACTCTTCGCCGCTCGATCGGTGCATCAAGGATGGATCACACGGCCTTTGTGCCGGTGATGCATCATTCAAATTTTTGCCCTATCAACTTTCGATGGTAGGATAGTGGCCAACTATGGTGGTAATGGGTGACGGAGAATTAGGGTTCCATTTTGGAGAGAGAGCCTGAGAAATGGCTACCACATCCAAGGAAGGCAGTAGGCGCACAAATTACCCAATCCTGACATGGGGAGGTAGTGACAATAAATAACAATATCGGGCTCTCTGAGTCTGGTAATTGAAATGAGTACAATCTAAATCCCTTAACAAGGATCCATTGGAGGGCAAGTCTGGTGCTAGCAGCCACGGTAATTCCAGCTCTAATAGCATATATTTAAGTTGTTGCAGTTAAAAAGCTCATAGTTGGAACTAGGGTTAGGTCATCCAGATCGCCTAACGATGAGCACCAGTCTACTCATCCCTACTGTCGGTGATACGCTCCTGGACTTATTGCCCGGGTCATTCCTCCGATGCTGTTACTTGAAAAATTAGAGTGCTCAAAGCAGGCCTATGCTTGTATACATTAGCATGGGATAACATCATAGGATTTTAGTCCTATTGTGTTGGCCTTCAAAACGGAGTAATGATTAACAGGGACAGTCGGGGCATTCGTATTTCATAGTCAGAGGTGAAATTCTTGGATTTATGAAAGACGAACAACTGCGAAAGCATTTGCCAAAGATGTTTTCATTAATCAAGAATGAAAGTTGAGGGCTCGAAGATGATCAAATACCATCCTAGTCTCTACCATAAACGATGCCGACCAAGGATCGATGGATGTTACTTTTAGGACTCCGTCGGCACCTTATGAGAAATGAAAGTCTTTGGGTTCCGGGGAGAGTATGGTCGCAAGGCTGAAACTTAAAGGAGTATGGTCGCAAGGTTACCTGGAACACCATCGGCACACGCTGGTTGATCACTATCAGCACACATTGGGCCCTGGTACGGGTGGTTGCCTCGATCACCATCGGCACAAGCTGGGCCCTGGTGTGGGCGGTTGCCTCGAACACCATCGGCACATGCTGGGCCCTAGTGCGAGCGGTGCCTTGAGCACCATCGGCAGACGCTGGGCCCTAGTGTGGAAGGTTGCCAAGATCACCATCAGCACACGGTGGGTGTTGGTGCAGGCGATTGCCTTGAGCACCATCGGCACACGCTAGTCGATCACCATCGGCACACGTTGGGCCCCAGTGTGGGTGGTTGCCTTGATCACCATCGGTACACGTTGGGCCTCGATGCGGACGGTTACCTCGAACACCATCGGTACACGCTGGGCCCTGGTGCTGGCGGTTGCCTCGATCACCATCGACACACGCTTGGCCCTGGTGTGGGCGGTTGCCTCCAACACCATCGAGAAACGCTGGGCCCTGGTGCGGGCGGTTGCCTCGATCACCATCGACACACGCTCTGCCCTGGTGTGGGTGGTTGCATCGAGCGCCATTGGCACACGGTGCGCCTAGTACGAGCGGTCGCCTCGATCACCATCGACACATGCTGGGCCCTGGTGTGAGCTATACGGGCGTTTGCCCTGAGCACCATCGGCACACGCTAGGCACTGGTGTGGGTGATTGCCTTGAGCCCTGGTGCGGGCAGTTGCCTCGACCACCATCGACACACGTTAGGCCCTGGTGTGGGCGGTTGCCTCGATCACCATCGACACACGTTGGGCCCTGGTGCGGATGGTTGCCTCGAGCACCATCGACTCACGCTGGGCCCTGATGCGAGCGGTTACCTCCAATTCCATCGAAAAACGTTGGGCCCTAGTGCGGGCGATTACCTCGATCACCATCGGCACACGTTCTGCCTTGGTGTGGGCGGTTGCCTCGAGCACTATCGGCACACGCTGGGCCCTGGTACGGGCGGTTGCCTCGATCACCATCGACACATGTTGGGCCCTGGTGCGAGCTATGCGGACGGTTGCCTTGAGCACCATCGGCACACGCTAGGCCCTGGTGTGGGGGATTGCCTCGAGCCTTGGTGTGGGCATTTGCCTCGACCATCATCGACACACGTTAAGCCCTGGTGCGGGCGGTTGCCTCGATCACCATCGACACACGCTGGGCCCTGGTACGGGTGGTTTCCTCGAGCACCAACGGCACACGCTGGGCCCTGATGCTGGTGGTTGCTTCGAACACATTGGCACACGTTGGGCCCTAGTGCGAGCGTTTGCCTCGATCACCATCGGCACACGCTGGGCCCTGGTGTGGGCAGTTGCCTTGACCACCATCGGCAGAAGATGGCCCCTGGTGCGGGCGGTTGCCTCGACCACCATTGGTAGAAGATGGCCCTTGGTGCGAGCGGTTGTGTCGAACACCATCGGCACATGCTAGGCCCTGGTGTGAGCGGTTGCCTCGAACACCATCGACATGTGCTGGGCCTTGGTGCGGGAGGTTGCCTCGAGCACCATCGACACAAGCTGGTCCATGGTGCGGGCTCTTGCCTCGACCACCATCGGCAGAAAATGGCCCCTGGTGCGGGCGATTGCATCGAACACCATCAGCATATGCTGGGCCCTGGTGCGGGTGATTACCTCGAACACCATCGGCACACGCTGGGCCCTGGTGCGGGCGGTTACCTCGAGCACCATTAGCACACTCTGGGCCTTGGTACGGGCGATTGCTTCGAGCACCATCGGCACAAGCCGGCCCTTGGTGCGGGCTCTTGCCTCAACCACCATCGATAGAAGATGGCCCCTGCGTCAAACACCATCGGCACATGTCGGGCCTTAGTGTGGGCACATACCTTATTCTGGTACGGGCGGTTGCTTCAACCACCATCGACACATGCTGGCCCTTGGTGCGGGCAGTCGCATCGACCACTATCAGCATGCGCTGGCCCTTGGTGCAAGCATATGGCCCAACCACCACCGGCACCTACTCACCTTCGGTGCGGGTTATGCCTGTTTGGAAAAAGTGTCCCCATTTCAGACACTTTAACGTCTACTGGTAGCATATCTGTAAAATCTCTAATGCTCTTTAGGGGGTGGTGCTCCGGCACCCCCTCTCTCTCCCCCACGGGGGGAGTAGGTGTACGTGATGGGCCTCGCATTACGCACACCTAGGGTAATGTCCCTCAAGTGAAATACAGGGCGTGCATGCCTTCCGACCGTTTTGTCCGATGACTGATTACTTCGGTGACCGGTAGGCACCCATGGCCTCGACCAGTTGACGAGCATACGAAAAAGTGGAGCTGAGCTCGATCCCGTGCACACGACAGATCTACCCTAGACCCCAGACCAAGTCCCTGAATCAGGCAACGGCTCCCTAGGGTGGTACGAGCAGAAGTCACAGTTATGGGCTTGTCCCGACCAGGTTTCTCGGTATTTGACGATCTCGCAGTCCCTTCTCGTTGGCTACGAAAATACTTAGGCCTCGATGAGGTCGTGCACGCAGCCGACGCTGCTCGAGACCCCAGGAACAAGTCCCTGAATCGAGCAACATCCCCATAGGGTGGTGTCAGTGAAGCTTGCGCATGTGGTCCCGATCGGGCCAAGCGGTGTCACTTTGTTCTTGCCTGTCGGATATCAAGGGTAGTCTTGTGGCCCTTGCTCGTGTTTTTCTCGTGCCATGCAGTTGTGGCATGGCCTCGCACCTCGTTTCCTCCACTCGCTCGTCGAGTAATCGATCGGATAGGTTATGGACTGGCGCGCGTGGATGCTGCCACTTATATGCAATGGGCATATGAGTGGTGCTATGGTTGTGCATGTTGGTAGGCTCCGTGCTCGATGTGTCGAACTGTCGACCTGTCATCCTCTTCAATCTCCCCCTATGCGGTCATCATACCCAGGGGGCACGATCGGGATCCTGTGTTGCACACTTAAATCGATGGAAACCGGATGTCTCACCATCCCTCATCCGTCTCATGTCCCGAGGGGCCACAGGTCGACCGTCAATCGTGGCTGGTGTCCCAAGCATGCCACCCAATCATCCGTGGCTGCATTAGTGCACCGACGTTCGATCATGCTCTCGGATGCGAACGTTTAGCGGGCGTGGGGTCTCGGCCCCCATTCGTTCGATGCTACACATTTCACGTGCTCGACACGCACAATGCTTACGCTCTACATCGGGCTCTCTCTGTTGCTCGGTCGGTGTGTTGAGGCCTACGCGGTGCCAACGTCTCGAAAGAATGCTACTTGGTTGATCCTGCCAGTAGTCATATGCTTGTCTTAAAGATTAAGCCATGCATGTGTAAGTATGAACTAATTTAGACTGTGAAACTATGAATGGTTCATTAAATCAGTTATAGTTTGTTTGATGGTATCTACTACTTGGATAACCATAGCAATTCTAGAGCTAATACGTGCAACAAACCCCAACTTTTGGAAGGGATGCATTTATTAGATAAAAGGTCGACGCGGTCTATACCCGTTGCTTTGTTGATTCATGATAACTCGACGGATCGCATGGCCTTTGTGTCGATGAGGCATCATTCAAATTTTGCCCTATCAACTTTCGATGGTAGGATAGTGGCCTACTATGGTGGTGATGGGTGACGGAGAATTAGGGTTCAATTTCAGAGAAAGAGCCTGAGAAATGGCTACCACATCCAAGCAAATTACCCAATCCTGGCACGGGGAGGCAGTGACAATAAATAACAATATCGGGCTCTCTGAGTCTGGTAATTGGAATGAGTACAATCTAAATCCTTAACAAGGATCCATTGGAGGGCAACTTTGGTGCCAGCAGCCACGGTAATTCCAGCTCCAATAGCATATATTTAAGTTGTTACAGTTAAAAAGCTCGTAGTTGGAACTAGGGTTGGGTCGTCCAGATCACCTCACGGTGAGCATCGGTCTACTCATCCCTACTATCGGTGATACACTCCTGGACTTAATTGCCCGAGTCGTTCCTCCGGTGCTGTTACTTTGAAGAAATTAGAGTGCTCAAAGCAGGCCTACGCTTGTATACATTAGCATGGGATAACATCATAGGATTTTGGTCCTATTGTGTTGGCCTTCGGGACAGAGTAATGATTAACAGGGACAGTCGGGGCATTCGTATTTCATAGTCAGAGGTGAAATTCTTGGATTTATGAAAGACGAACAACTGCGAAAGCATTTACCAATGATGTTTTCATTAATCAAGAACGAAAGTTAAGGGCTCGAAGATGATCAAATACCATCCTAGTCTCTACCATAAACGATGCCGACTAGGGATCGGTGAATGTTACTTTTAGGACTCCGTCGGTACCTTATGAGAAATGAAAGTCTTTGGGTTTCGAGGGGAGTATGGTCGCAAGGTTGAAATTTAAAGGAGTATGCCCTGGTGCGGGCGGTTGCCTCGAACACCACTGGCACAAGCTGGGCCCTAGTGCGAACAATTGCCTCGAACACCATCGGCACACGTTGGGCCCTGGTGCGGGCGGTTACTTCAAGCACCATCTGCACACGCTAGGCCTTGGTGCAGGCGGTTGCCTCTAGCACCATCAGCACACGCTAGGCCTTGGTACGGGCGGTTGCCTCGAGCACCATCGGCACACGCTGGTCGATCACCAACGACACATGCTGGGCCCCAATGTGGGCGGTTGCCTCGATCACCATCGACAAACGCTGGGCCCTGGTGCTAGCGGTTACCTCGAACACCATCAGCACACGCTGGGCCCTGGTGCTGACGGTTACCTAGATCACCATCGGCATACGCTCGGCCCTGGTAAGGGCGGTTGCCTCCAACACCATCGACAAACGCTGGGCCCTGGTACAGACGGTTGCCTCGATCACCATTGGCACACGCTCGGCCCTGATGCGGGCGATTGCCTCGAGCACCATCGGCACACACTGGTCGGTCGCCATCGACACACGCTAGGCCCTGCTACTGACGGTTGCCTCAATCACCATCGACAAACGCTAGGCCCTGGTGTTGACAGTTACCTCGAGCCCTTGTGCGAGCGGTTACCTCGAGCACCATCGGCACACACTGGGCCCTGATGCGGGCAGTTACCTCGAACACCATCGGTACATGTTGGGCCCTAGTACAGGTGATTGCCTTGATCACCATCGGCACATGCTGGGCCATGGTGCAGGCAGTTGCCTCGACCACTATCGATAGAAGATGGCCCCTAGTGTGGGCGGTCGCCTCGACCACCATCGGTAGAAGATGGCCCCTGGTGCAGGCGGTTACACCGAACACCATCGGCATATGCTGGGCCCTGGTACGGGCGGTTACCTCGAACACCATCGGCACGTGCTGGGCCTTGGTGCGGGAGGTTGCCTCGAGCACCATCGACACAAGCTGGCCCTTGGTGCGGGCTCTTGGGTCGACCACCATCGATAGAAAATGGCCCCTGGTGCGAGCGATTGCGTCGAACACCATCGGCATACACTGGGCCCTGGTGCGGGCGGTTGCCTCGAACACCATCGGCACACACTGGGCCCTGGTGATGGCGGTTGCCTCGAGCACCATGGGTAGAAATGGCCCTTCGTGCAGGCGGTTGCCTCGAACACCACCGGCACACGCTGGCCATGGTACGGGCGATTACCTCGATCACCATCGGCACACGCTGGGCCCTGGTACGGGTGATTACCTGGACCACCATCACCACAATCTGACCCTTGGTGCGGGCTCTTGCCTCGACCATCATTGATAGAAGATGGCCCCTAGTGCGGGCGGTTGCATCGAACACCATTGGCATACGTTGGGCCCTGGTGCGGGCGGTTGCATCGATCACCATCGGCACACGCTGAGCCCTGGTGTGGGCTGTTGCCTCAATCACCATCGACACACGCTAGGCCCTGGTGCGGGCTGTTACCTCGATCACCACCGGCACACGCTGGGGCCTGTTATGAGCGGTTGCCTCAAACACCATCGACACAAGTCGGCTCTTGGCGCGAGCTCTTACCTCGAGACCATCGACACACGCTGGGCCCTGGTGCAGGCGGTTGCCTCGAACACCATTGGCACACACTGGGCCCTGTTGTGGGCAGTTGCCTCGATGACCATCAGCCCAGCTGGGCCCTGGTATGGCCGGTTACCTCGAGCACCATCGGCACACGCTGGGCCTTGGTACGGGTGGTTGCTTCGAGCACCATCGGCATAAACTAGCACTTGGTGCAGGCTCTTGCCTCGACCACCATCGGTAGAAGATAGCCTCTACATCGTACACCATCGGCACACACCGGGCCTTGGTGTGGGCACATGCCTCGATCTGGTGTGGGCGGTTGCCTCGACCACCATCAACAAACACTGGCCCTTGGTGTGGGTAGTCGCATCGACCACCATCGGCACGCGTTGGCCCTTGGTGTGAGCACATGTTCCAACCACCATCGGCACCTGCTCACCCTCGGTGTGGGATATGCTTATTTGGAAAAAGTGTCCCCGTTTCAGACACTTTAACGTCTACTGGTAGCATATCTATAAAATCTCTAATGCTCTTTAGGGGTTGGTGGTCCAGCACCCCCTCTGCCCTTCCATGAAGGGAGTAGGTGTGCGTGATGGGCCTCCCAGTGCGTACACCCAAGGCAATGTCCCTCGAGCGAAATACAGGGTGTGCATGCCTTCCGATCATTTTGTTCGACGACTGGTTGCTCCGGTGACCGACAGACGCCCATGGCCTTGATCGATTGGCATGCATACAAAAAAGAGGAGCTTAGCTCGAGCCCGTGCACATGGCGGATGCTGCCCTAGACCATAGACCAAGTCCCTGAATCGGGCAACGACTCCTTGGGGTGGTGCGAGCAGAAGCCGTGGTTGTGGGCTTGGCCTGGCCAAGTCTCTCTGTATTTGACGGTCTCGTAGTCCCTTCTCATCGACCATGAAAATGCCCAGGCCTCGACGAGGTCGTGCACGCAGCCGACGCTGCCCGAGACCCCAGGAACAAGTCCCTGAATCGGGCAACGTCCCCCTGGGGTGGTGTTAACGAAGCTCACACGTGCGGTCTCGGCCGGGCCAAGCATTCGTGGTGTCGCTTTGTTGTTGCCTATCGGATATCAAGGGCCGTCTCGTGGCCCTTGCTCATGTTTTTCACGTGCCAAACGGTTGTGGCGTGGCCTCGTACCTAGTTTCCTTCGCTCGCTCGTTGAGTAATCAATCGGGTGGGTTGTGGATCGGTACGCGTGGATGCTGCCACTTGTACGTAATGGGCATATGAGTGGTGCTATGGTTGTGCTGTTGGCAGGCTCCATTCTCGATGCATCAAACTGTCGACTCGTCATCCTCTTCAATCTCCCCCCATGCGGTCATCGTACCTAGGGGGCACGATCGGGATCCTGTGTTGCATACCTAAATCGATGGAAATCGGATGTCTCGCCATCCGTCATCCGTCTCGTGTCTCGAAGGGCCACGGGTCAGATGTCAATCGTGGTCGGTGTCCCAAGCGTGCCACCCAATCATCCATGGCCGCATTAGTGCACCGGCGTTCGATCATGCTCTCGGATGCGGAACATTTAATGGGTGCGGGCTTTCGACCCTCGTTCATTCGATGCTACGCATTTCACATGCTCGACACGCACGATGCTTGCGCTCCGTGTCGGGCTCTCTTCGCTGGTCGATCGATGCATCGAGGCCCACGCAGTGCCAACGTCCTAAAGGAATACTACCTGGTTGATCCTACCAGTAGTCATATGCTTGTCTCAAAGAGTAAGCCATGCATGAGTAAGTATGAACTAATTCAGACTGTGAAACTGCGAATGGTTCATTAAATCAGTTATAGTTTGTTTGATGGTATCTACTACTCGAATAACCATAGTAATTCTAGAGCTAATACGTGCAACAAACCCTGACTTCTGGATAAAAGGTCGACGCGGGTTATGCCCGTTGCTCTGATGATTCATGATAACTCGACGGATTGCACGACCTTTGTGTCGGTGACGCATCATTCAAATTTCTACCCTATCAACTTTCGATGGTAGGATAGTGGCCTACTATGGTGGTGACGGGTGGCGAAGAATTAGGGTTCGATTCCGAAGAGGGAGCCTGAGAAACGGCTACCACAGCCAAAGAAGGCAGCAGGCGTGCAAGTTACCCAATCCTGACACAGGGAGGTAGTGACAATAAATAACAATATCGGGCTTTCTAAGTCTGGTAATTGGAATGAGTACAATCTAAATCCTTTAACGAGGATCCGTTGGAGGGTAAGTCTGGTGACAGCAGCCACGATAATTCTAGCTCCAATAGCATTTATTTAAGTTGTTGTAGTTAAAAAGCTCGTAGTTGGAACTAGGGTTGGGTCGTCTGGTCCACCTCACAGTGAGCATCGGTCTACTCATCCCTACTGTCAGCAATGCGCTCTTGGACTTAATTACTTGGAGTCATTCCTTCGACACTGTTACTTTGAAGAAATTAGAGTGCTCAAAGTAGGCCTACGCTT